TGTACGGGATCTGGGTATCTTCTATGCATGACCCAGACCCCACCATCTCATGATTGTATGTGTGTGGAGTGATGCCATGTAGGTCAGTCTATGTGAGTCAGTCTATGTGAGTCAGTTCGTTATCAGACTTCCACTGCATAAATACTCATCCTATATTGGTTGATTCTTGGTTCTGCCCATACTCATTGGAGTATGTAACACTGCCTCTGCTACAGTAATGATGCTGCCATTTCCAATGACTGAAGATGTCGCCACTTGCTACAACCGCAGATGCTGCTCACTTGCTACGACCAAAGTAGATGTCACTGATTCAGATGAGAAGTTGGTACTGCCACTTCAATATAGTCACGGATGCTTCCACTTAATGCAATACCGGATGCTGCCACTTGCTATGATCATGAATGCTTGCCACTTGCTACAATCGTAAATACTGCCACTTGTTAGACAACTGCAGATGCTGCCACTTGCTACAATCGTGAATGCTGCCACTTGCTATACCATCCGACATGCCACCACTTGCCACGGTCGCAGACACATCAACTTTTCACAATCATCAATTCTGTCACTTGCTACCAGCGTAGATGCTGCCACTTGCTACCATTATAAATGCTTCCACTTGCTGTCATCGTAGATCCAATAGCGCACTCTGTCCCTTGCTATGACTGTGGATGCTACCACTTGTTGTGATTGATGATTCTGCGACTTGCTACGATCGTGGATGCTGCCACTTGCTAGACCATCACCAATGACGTTATTTGCGATGATCGCAGACGCTGCCACTTGCTACAATCGCAAATCCTGGCCGCTTGCTACAACCGCAGATGCTGCCACTCGCTAGGACCACAGGTGCTTCCACTTGCTACGATTGCAAACGCTGCACTTGCTGCGATCGCAAACACTGGCACTTGTAAGAATCATGGATGCTGCCACTTGCTACCATCGTAGATATTGGCACTTGCTGTGATCGCAGATGCTGCCATGTGCTATTGAACATGAGCTGGCACCACTTATGGAATGTGCACATCGTGACATCGGAGATGGCACCGCTTGCGTGCTAGACGATTGGTGACTGGCGAAGTTATCACATGGCTGAGTTACATTGCAGCGCCTGATGATCTGCTAGTTCTTCATGCTATTCGGATAACTAATGCTGGCATGCGCAATAACCAACAGAAAATTTGCAGAACAGCCAAAGCAACGAATGCAGATCAGTTGTGGCAGGGGGATGAGGAACTGAACATACTGCAGGAAAGAAAATAGAGAGAAAAAATACAATCAAAACATCTGAAACTTGACAGAAGGAACAAACACACACACACACACACACACACACACACACACACACGCACACACACACACACACACACACACACACACACA